AAATATCGATGGACTTGCACATTTACAATCAATTTTTTTTTGTCGTTTTTATGTAGCCGAATATTCTCGATAAAGGAAAAAATGGGTGTAATTCGTATGAACTTGCTAATGCAATTCCATTTCAGAATTATCTATTTAAATTACAACATTCAAAAAATTTTATACAATTTAATAAATGAATTTTAGAGTTGACAGACTCAACTTTTTTTTTGTTATTTTCTTCTTGGTATGGAATTTATATGAAAACTATCAAAATCTACCAAACTAATTTTATTCTGACCATATCTATATAGTTTCCTAGTTTTATAATATAAATAAGTGGTTAACGATAGCTAACTTTTATACTTATGGAAATTTTTCCAATATTTTTTCATAAATTATATTCAGAGAACAAAAAAAAAAATTGAACAACTGAATCATTTGGAATGAGTTAAATAAAGGAATAATCAAATAAAGAACAAAAAAAAAATAACAAAAATTAATATGGTTTCTAAGGATGCCTTATAAAATCTCTATTGTGTTGTAAATTTTTGTTCTATTTTTCTGTTTTATATATAACAAGGACGAATAATGACTACAGAGAGTAATAACAATAATAATATATTCTTTAAAGTCTGGTCCAACGAAGGCACATATTATATTAGAAAAGACTAAGAAACAATTCAGATCAAACAATGAAAAAAAAAAAAATAATTTTTTCATTCAAAAAAAAAATCACAAAATATAAAATTTATTTTTCATTTTCAGTCTAACAATTTCTAGTCATTAAATAAATCTGCTGTAAATAAAGGAACAGAAAATATTGTTCTATGAAAAGTTCGTGCTATTTTGCCGATTGTCTATATATATATATATATATATATATCACTATCGCTAACCAATGGCATGTTTTTAAATCATACTACAAAGCTATTGACGAGTGCTTTAGACGAGTTATAAATGAATAAAAATCGGACTGCCCATATTGAACAGATTTTATTGAACAATGAAATGTCATTATCACTAATTGAGTAAATCCAATTTCTATGTGCCCAAATTATATGAAACAACTTTAGATTACACGTCATTTCACTCTTGATTTTTCGAAGCCCAACCTCTTTGTGCAAGTAGCTCTTTTGGAACAAAAGTTTTTGTTTTTCTGATTATCTACTTAAAGTGAGGACTGTTATTTCTTATAAAAATTTGGAGTATTGGAGGAAAAAAGCTTATCATTACTATTCCTATAATTGTATTCATAGTAAATGCCACTAGACATTATAAAAATAATCTTCAATATATAATACTACCTCTAATTAATCTCTACTTTCTAAACTTTATTAACTTGATACTTAAATGCTGCCGCGTAAAAAGCTTGCAGAATATTTTGTTTAAATTATGAAACGAATTTAATATTTGACTTGTACAACATGGAATTCTGTGAGTTTATACAAAAAGCATCGAAATTTTCTTCCAGGCACTCTTGGTTCTCCGTACATTCGATTTTTTTTGGATCCGCTGTCTGATTTTTCAAGCGTATTCAAAAAACGTTTTGAACAAGGCAATATTTCGTCGTAAATATCACCAAACAAAAGTTATTTACTGTCATTTTATTTCTAAAAAAAGTGTTAAATAAGATTATGGAAATGTTCTTTACACACTTTAACTCTATAAAACCACGCAACCCTTTGGATAATACACCTACAAACATGTAAATTTAGTCCTTAATTAAGTTTAGTTCAAATTGCGATTTCTAAACTCATATTCTCAAAAAAATTTGCCAGTTCATTGTTTTGATATCTAGAATTACAATATAGATTAGTTAATTACTCTTCTCGGTATATATGTGAATTCAGCACGTATAGCGAGTATACCATGCACAGTTCAGCCGCTAAAATCATATTTTCTAGAAAAAGTATAAATTTTTTCAAAAAAATCTCATTTAATAACGAATCCTTTTCAATAACTCAAAAAAAATTGTGCCTTTTATTAAACTGAAATTCTTGTACAACCTTATAAACTTTATAACCCATAGTTACAGAAAATAATTGCGTTTATTTATCATCCCTTTATTATAAAAATATTCTAAGAAAAAATATAATTATTAAAACTACTTCCCACTTTAACATGTAAAAATTTTTCAAGAAACAAAAATTTTATTTTTGTTTCAATCAAAATACAAAAACACAAATTGTAACAATATTGAAGTTCAATAAAATTGAATGAGTTTGGTGTTCCTCATTCTATAATTTTATGCAAAACATGAAAATAAATTTTGTTTCATTTTATTTGTGAAAAAGCAAAAAAAAAAAAAAGGAAAAACTTTTATAATAAAAATTAAATATTTGACTCCAATTTGCCATTTTGGAAAGATGACATTTGACATTTTTGTTAGGAAAATCATAGAAGAGTAAAATTTGTTTTCAAGGTTTTTCGAAATTATTTTTATAATCCTTGATTTGGGGAAAAAAGAAAGAATAATAATTTTATATCATACGAGTAATATTATGTATATGCATGCATGTGTATACTTTTATAAAAATTTTAATATGCCTGTGCATAGTTTCCAAAGAATTATAATATAAACAGTTTAATATTGAAAATTTTAATTCAAATAAATAATTATTGTAAGTATATGTAGGATTTGCAATCGTTTTTATTTCGGAGATTTAAAATTTTAATAGTCATACACTTTAGTATTAAAGTACTAAATATGTTTTTTGTTATTTTTTTTAATATACGATAAATAGAGGATTTTAGAAAATAGGAATCAAAAATTATTTATCCTTCTATAATTAATGTACATGTTCCAGTCAAATCTTACATAAAAGTAATATATTTGTCTATATAATAAAGGAAATACGTAAAGCATTTTTAGTACTAACGTAATGAATAAATTTTAATTTTACAAAATATATAAAAATTAAAACTCAAATTATTTGATAAATTTTCACAGATATTTTCGAAGTAATAATTGTTATGAATATCAAGGACTAGTGAAATATCATTAATAATTTTTCAAATAATCCGAAATTCCACAAAAATTAAATAGACCATGCTAATATAACTCAAACGCCCTTAAGAAAAAAATGTAACCCGACGAAAGTTCCGGATAATAGATGTATTCGTATTCGTATAACAGCGGGTATCTAATAATCCTAATAATTTGTTATAATGTGCTGATTTTTTAAAATGGCTTAATAATTCCCATATTATAACCGTAATTTTTGAAGTGATAGAAAAAATTTTTATCCTGATTCGTCAAATCTTTGTTTATCTTCAATATTATTTATTAATCTTATAATGTAAGAAAAAAACTTCAGAAAAAATAAATTTTTTCTAATTTTCTGATTTTTATACACTTTTTAAATTTTAGAAACATATTTCAGTACGAAATGAACCTTACCTTAATTTAAATCTTTTTTTTTCTACTTTTCTCAATATAAAACATATTGGAGATCACAAGAAAAAAAAGCAATTAAAATAATGTTTTCAATTAAGTTTTTCAAAAATTTCAATTATTCACAAAAAAAAATTTATACGTAGCCCAAAAGTATGCAAATAATATTAAAAAAAAAGAATTAAAGAACGCAACCATTTCATATCATCTGACAAATTAATTGAAATTTTGGTTAACTAAGCCAAGGTTTTCAATTTCAATATATTTAGTTTATATCTTTTGAATAATTCCCCCTCCTTTTTTCCTTGTATGCCTCGGCTATACACAATAAAACCTTTTCTTTTCTTCAAAATTGGGTAATTTCCTTGTAAAAAACTAATTTTAAAAAAAGGGATTCATGTCGAAATCATGTCCTTTTTTTTCTTTTTACTATTCACCTTAATTTATAATAGAAAAAAAAATAAAGAAATTGGTCCTTGCTATCAAACAGTGTATTTAGAAAAGGTGACATAAAAAAATATATAAAAGGACTATTGTGCAGGTTAACAATTTTGACAATCACAAAATTATATTCACAATCTAATTGATGTCCGTTTTTGTTATTGTTTTTGAATTCTCATTTGAAAACGTTGAAATAAAGAATAAAAATTCCACATATAAAAGAATTGAAAATAGTTTTTCATTTTGGAAAAGTACAAAAATGTTTCACTTTATAAAATCCCAAAAATTGTTTTGTACGGCATCTACAGTGATTTCAATCAAATGTAGTTATATAGGAAATTTATAAAACTATGAAATTTTTTCACTTTGTAAAATCAATATTTTTGTACGCCATCTACATTGATTGCAATCAAAGTAATTATTTGAGCTTAAAATTGTAATAGTTTCAAAAATTCTCAAATTTTTAATATAAAATAAAGAAATGTGAATGGCTATGTATATCAAAAAATCAATTTGTTCAGAAAATTTTCAATATTTTTATTGAAAATTTTAAAATTGTTGAAATTTCAAATTTTACTTTTGGTTTTAATTAAACCAATATAAAGAATCCTTAAGTTGCGGCTTCCACAGTTTGTTAAGAATTATAATGTTCCTATTAGATGTTTTTTATTAGCCTGCTCCAGTTTTTAATGAATTTAAAAAAATTCTAAACATCTTCTTTAAAAAATTAATATCCGATTTCTATAGAATGCAAAATATTTTAAAAATTTGCAATATGCAGACACTTTCGATGAACCAAATATTCAACCAAAATTACACTTTCAATTGCCGAAAAATCATTGAAAATGTAAACCATAACCCTTTATTTAAACCACTTTAAAATTAATAAATAAATTGAAATTCATTAAAATTTGTTTAATAATTAAAAACATGTCGACTCTCCTATAAAGATGCGTAAATCGCTTAATAAAATTCTATTCATTGTTCTTATTTGAAACCTCAACATATTTTTAATTCAGTGAATGAAAAACTTAAATGAGGAAATTATTTCTTTGTTTTTTTTCTTATTTAAATTTTTTTTTCCCTATATTGTTTATTTTATTATACGTATCCCTATTTTAACATATTATTATTTATTTTATATTCTTAAAAAAAATTATTTTATTTTTTCTTGTTGTTACAGTGCCCCGAACTGAAATTGTTGGTGAATCCGATCGATATGTTAAAGCTGGAAGTACAGTTGTATTAAGATGTATTGTAAGAGGTGCTTTAGAGCCACCAGTATTTATAACATGGTCACATGGATCGAAACAATTAACAGCCGATTCACCTGGTATACGTATGCAAGTTGATAAAAGTTTATTGGATCCAATGTCAGAGGATGATAATCAACAGCAAACAACGGTAAATATTTATACCTATAATCAAATCTATATATATAGTAATCCATTTTATACTAATACCAATAAAAAGGGAACAAAAGAAAGCGAATGAAAAAAAGTAAAAAAAAAAGGAAAAAAAAATTCTATGAAAATCGATTTTTTTTTTCTTAATTTTTTTTTTGTTACGTTATCTTGAAAAGAATATCCTTGAAGCTAATATAAACATGTATTTAGCTTATTTTTTTTTTCTTTTAATAAAAGCACTTCTATGTTACAACAAATTGCAAAACTACTGACAACAATTTAATACGAGAAAGTATAATTCAAGTTAATAATTTTATTAAGTATTTGTAAAGTGCAAAAAAGTTTTCACATGTATGAAATATAAACATTTCTTTACAATTTTAAGGATACTTAGTCTCACTAAACTCTTAGTTAACATTCTACGAAAAATATAAATTTCTTCTTTAGTTGAGTTTCATTTTGTGCCATCCGAATTCCGTGAACAGTACGCGCCAGTTAGTTTTGGTAACAACCAGAACTCAAATATCAAATTCAATAAAATGTCATCAATCCGTTCTGTAAATATGTAATAAAATAGTTTATTTGCGCTTCCTTAATATAAAGAAGTGGGTTCCCAACGAAAACTCGAGATATTAAATTTGGTACCATCACATAATTTCCTTTATTGTTTACAATACTATTGTTAAATAGGTTTAGATTTTACACTGAATTTGTTGAATTAACTATTTATAAAAAGAGAAACCAGAAGTTTCAATTTATTAAATTAATTAAAGAGCCTTAAATAAATGAGATTTTCCCATTGAACTCCTGGTTCCAGATTAAGAAATTTATTATTTAAATTAAGTAAATATCATAGAAGTTAATTTTGAATCAAATACAGTAATTCGGGTTCATATTTTGAGATTAATTTATCGAGCTGTTTTTCCTAAAATGGCATGAGTCCACATGTCAATAACTTTGCGGTAATTTAAGTAGAAAGGTTTAATATTTCAGTGGATAAGAAATCGGCTTATAACACATTCAAGAAACTAATCTTTCAACTAAATTTTTCGTCAAATTCAGAAACAACCGAATGCAGTCAGTCGCTTAACTTCTTTACTCACAAAATATTTTTAAAGTTGTCCGCGCTTTAAATTTTTTACTATTATTTTTATGATGTTTTTGTTACAAAATATAGGTACACACTTTTATTTTTAATTTTGTTTTTTCTTTTCTTTGGTTTTTTTACTTAAATTTCTTCTTCTTTATTTCGCCTTTAATTCAGATCGGATCATTAATCATTGATGTTGCAAGAAAATATCACAATGGTAATTACAGTTGTAGCCCATCAAATAGTCCAAGCGTAACAGTAACGTTAAATGTGATTAACGGTAAGTATATAGTGTGTACATTTAAGCTATAAGTTTGTATATGTAACTACATATATATTTAAACTATTACAGTAATATTTGTTTAATTAAGGAAGTAACATATAAACATATACGTACATATATAGAAAAATAAAAAAAATATTGATTAAAAATAAGGATAATATTCTTAGGAAAATAAAAAATTTCTTAGAGGTAAAGGTCACCTTGATTTTATTATTTTATTTCTCTAAGAAATTTTTATATATTATACTGTAATATCATCAATTCCACTTTAAATGTATATGTGAATATAGTAAGATTAGAAATAGATTAGATTTTCTTGAAATTTTTTGATTTGCTTCACTTTACAATATTATATTACTCTTAAATAATGTAATATTAAGTGCTAAGAGTTCAATTTAAAAAATAAATTAAAATTATTATATTATGTAACAAGAAAATTTTGTGACTCGAAGTAAAAATTTCTACCATTTTCTTGGAATTTCTCAACTTTCCAATTATAATAAAGAAATTTTCTAAATATTAAAATAATTTTGCTTAGGAGTGATTATCACGACGCTACACGTGAATTTCAAAGATACATAATTTAAAATACATAAAATTATTTATTCAAGCGAAAATTTACTGACGTATAAAAGTAAGGTCATCATACTCATTGAATCAAAAACTCAATGAAAAATACAAGCAAAATTAAAGTATAGCGCTCTTATTACACGAGATGAACAAGTACACATGTATTATTCTCAATTCATGAAATAAAATAATTGTGAATTCTCTTATATCTCAATACAAAATAATTATTGTCAAAATATTGAAACCTTCAATAACAAACATAACAAAATCTCAATTTGCTTTACAGATTTCTAAAAGTTACTACATATATTACAAACTCTGTATAAACATAAGAACAGTCTATTATAATTGCACAAGTTTTTATGTTATGTATGTAAAATTTTGTTACAGCTATTAAATTATTAATAAACAACTTGACATCAAATTTATATCCCTTTTTACCTTGACAAAAAATATGACTATCCTAATAACTGGAAATGATAAAAATTTTGTTTTTGAAGCACATATTATGACTTTCATATGTATATATATTACATGTGTATTTACAATATAATTTACAGATACATACAAATATCTTATAACTGATTCTAATCAAAAGTTCATAAAAAAGAAATGAAAAACAAATACAAAAAATTCATCAAGCATTTATTAAAAATTATTTAGAAAAATGTCAAATCCTGATAAAATGTTCATTTTAGATTTTTTTCTATATAAAATGTATGTATGTGCAAGGTGTTTCATAACTCGATAGCATTCCTAATGTAGAATTCCATCAAATACTTATTTACTATATTGAAACCAAATAGCCTATTGAAAAGACAGGATTGTGAAATTTTCAACCCCTAAACAAATCCAGAGAAATGAAAAATTAAATTTTCTTTTCTTATTTCTGCTTTTAAATTATTGGTCCTTGCTATTAGTTTTCTTAGAAATCGTGGCAATTTTAGATTTAGACTTTAGGTTAAAACTTGGAAAGTATGATGGACGTACCATATGTTTTCGATTTTTTTAGGTCTATTAAATCTAAAAAGGATTGAAAAGAATTTTAAGTATGCTCTACGGGTATTACAGACTTCTATATTTAATAAAATTTTTAAATACGAGATCAATTAGTTTAAAAAGAAAGCTTCACTTCTGACATTCAAGTTGATTGGAAAAATGTCTCAAAAATTTCATAAATAGCAAACCGAGTGTCAATAACTTTTAAGTATCATGAATAAATAGAATAAATTACTTTTAATTATTTCACATTTTATCTCGATCCATTCTATTATTCTCTATTCAAGGAAACTAACGATTCACAATTCTACAGACACTCTGTTAAATTCTGTATTATATATACAGAAAAAATGTGTAAAAAAATTATCAATCTATTTGTCCTTGTAATCCCATAATAAAATACTTAGGTATTGGTATACTGATATGTTCATTTTTGAAAAGCTTAATGATATTATTAAAAAAAATATACATAATATTTTATGTTGTCGAAACTATTTTCTAAAATTGATTGATTCAATAATTTTAATGGCATAGAGAATTCAATATCCTTTCGAATCCAATATTGTATACGTCCCTTTTAATATTATTCACATTATTCACATCGTCTTCTTAATTCAATATATTGATAAACATAATTTTTTTTTTTTAACCTTAATATCAATAATAATTTACAATTGATCTATAATAGGATCAAAAATGTTTAGCAACATTTATTCTTCCATTGTTTCTTAAGGTTCCTGTACAAGTATTTAACCATATTTTCAAATATCTTATATGATATTTCATCCATTTCTTATCTTAACCTAACTTAATCTCGAACTAATAAATTGCTTGAGATATATATTTTGATTTTGACCGGTTTTTGGGAACTTTGTTCATGAAATATTCAAGAATTAAAACCCCAAGTTGATTCTATTCATTCAAATTCATAATCCATTCGAAATGCTATAAAGAATTTTGTTACTGCTAAACTGTTGCTATCTTAAAGATCACTGTCTCCAAAAAATTCAAATAAGGTGATTCAATAGAGCTTAGTAAGTTAACAGTCCAAATCATAATAACCGACAAAACTTAAATAATCTTTGGTTGAATTTTTTTGGAAATAAAAATTTTCCGATAAATTTTGAACTTAAATAAAACAGTAGTTTCCTTTCAAATTTTACGATAGTTAATTTTCATTTCTCATATTATGAAAAATGCAAACCACGTTAGATAAACGGCCTATTTAGTGAATTTCAAACAAAAAAATATACCGTGTTTCAATGAAGTTAGGAGAGAGAGACTAGGCAAACATGAAAACAAAAAAAAATTTTCTTCCTCAGATATTTTTAAGAAATTTTATATAAGTGAAACAAAAAAAAAATATTTCGCATGCCTCCATTTATCAAACAAAATCTGTCTGTGATAGAAATTCATTTTCTTTTCTTTTTTATACCCTGCACTTCGTGAAGGGTATATTAACTTTGGTATGGAGTTTGTAACTACTTGAAGGAGTCATCTGCGGTATGGACATATATATATATTCTTGCTCAGCGTAAAATTCTGCGTTGATTTAGACATGTCCGTCCGTCCGTCCGTCCGTCCGTCCGTCCATCCGTCCGTCCGTCCGTCCGTCCGTCCGTCCGAGCGCACGATAACTCAAAAACGAATAATGCAATCGACACCAAACTTTCACAAGTTTTTTCTTTTGTGCCAAGGACGAACCCTATTGTTATTGAACTAAGTCGGACAACGGGTTCGGGTAGCTGCCATACAACTCCAAGAGTTTATTTTAAATTTTTCAAAAACTAATAAAGCTATAAATATAAAATTTTGTATACATGTGTCCAATTATATTCTACACATGCTCTAAAAATTATAATGGGATAGCTGCACCGGTTCGGGTGGCTGCCATACAACTCCAACAGCAAATTTTTTATATTCGGAAAAATAATAAAGTCAGATTCATGAAACTTGGCAGTCATGTGTCCAATTATAGGTCAAATATATTTCCGAAGTTTTGGAGGAATTGCTTGACAGGTTCGGGTACCTGCCATACAACTCCAAAAGCTAATTTTAAATATTTGGAAAAATAATAAAGTTAGATTCATGAAACTTGGCAGTTGTGTGTCCGATTATAGGTCAAATATATTTCCGAAGTTTTGGAGGAATTGCTTGACAGGTTCGGGTACCTGCCATACAACTCCATAAGCTAATTTTAAATATTTGGAAAAATAATAAAGTTAGATTCATGAAACTTGGCAGTTGTGTGTCCGATTATAGATCAGATATATTTGTGAAGTTTTAGTGGAATTGCTTGACAGGTTCGGGTACTTGCCTTACAACCCCAAAAGCTTATTTCAAATATTTGGAAAAATAATAAAGTCAAATTCATGAGACTTGGCAGTCGTGTGTCGAATTATGGGTCAGACATATTTCTTAAGTTTTGATGCGATTGCTTGACAGGTTCGAGTAGCTCCCATACAAGTCTAAAAGCTTATTCTTAATATTTGGAAAAATAATAAAGTCAGATTCATGAAACTTGGCAGTCATGTGTCCAATTATGGGTCAGACATATTTCTGAAGTTGTGGTGGAATTGCTTAACAGGTTCGAGTAGATCCCATACAAGTCTAAAAGCTTATTCTTAATATTTGGAAAAATAATAAAGTCAGATTCATGAAACTTGGCAGTTGTGTGTCCGATTATAGATCAGATATATTTGTGAAGTTTTGATGAAATTGCTTGACAGGTTTAGGTACTTACCATACAACTCCAAAAGCTAATTTTAAATATTTTGAAAAATTATAAGGTCAGACTGATGAAACTTGGCAGTCGGATGTCCAATGATAGGTCAGACATGTCCGTGAAGTTTCTATAGAATGATCTCACAGGTTCGAGTAATTGCTACACAATAACGAAAGGTGCAGGGTATAATTCAATCGGTTTATACCGACTGAAACGTTTTTACTTGTTCGATTTACTTTTTGTCTTTTCTAAAAAAAACGTGAATTATAATTTTCTTTTTTAGTTTTTCCCTTTTTTTTATTTAGTTAAACATTGGGAACGATATGACAGACATGAGACATATTTGAAAGGTTTCTTCAACTTTTCAATAAACAGAAAATTTAGAAATCTGAGATAAATTTAGTCAAATTTTTGCGACAACTTCAATACTGCTCGTAGAAAGAATAATATAAAATAACCCTTATATTCGTAAGTTTAAAATAGGAGCTTTTAATAGTAATTGCTACACTAATCAATCATATTTCAGGTTCGTAACTAGACTCAATCATAGTGTGTGTCTTATTTTGCCAGTACTATTGCTAAAATACTTTAACTTGTTTTTTTTTTATTTTTTCCAAATTATGTTAGAATTTATTTTAGAGATTAAATCATACATTTCCATTCAAAATATTTACAATTTAAAAATTATAATTATTTCAAGGAT